TACAATGCAGAATTAATTATCACTGAGCTTTCAAATCAAAGAACATAAAATGCATTTTATGAGACCATTTAAAGGTAACAACAACAACAACAACAACCACAACAATAACAACAGCAGCAGCAGCAGCAGCAGCTGCACCACACTCTCTCACACACACACACACACATACACACACACACACACACACACACACACACACACACACACACACACACACACACACACACACACGACTCTCCCCCCGGACTCTCCCCTCTAAAGTACACCCGCCCACCAGCCTACTGTGTCCGCGCCACCCGTCCGGCCAGAAAGCATTGACTTACACAACCAGTCGTCCTTCACGGTCCGTTGACTGACACCCTCGCACTGACCTACCGACCACACTAGCGGACACCGTGCCTTCTCTGGTGCGACAAACGCTATCCAATTGCTGATCGTCTCTGTGGGGGTGTGTTCGCCTGCTGAGTAGAAGAGGTCAGAGTTCAGAGGACAGTTAGTATGGGCATTCTGTTCCTGAGCGATGACCGAGATGTTGGACACCATGTGGGATAGTTTTGTTTCGTGTTTGTTTGACTCCTCCGTTCTGATTGAAATGTTTGAAAAATGGAGGAGTGATCAATTGTTTCCAAACGTTTTGTTGGGGCTTTTTTTCGAAAAGGGGGGGGGGGGGGGGTTGGGAGGAGGAGGAAACAACATGGGTCAGGATGATTGTTTTCTCAGAAAACATTACACCAGTACCAAGACATGCAGAACAAAGCAATACAGAAAGGACCACCTTTCAAAGACTAACATTTTTACATCCCCCTGGTCACATTGCAGTGAAAAACACCTGTCCCTCACAACACAAGTGATCCCCACTGCCCACCAATTTTACTGACAAGACCGCATCTAAAAAGTTTGGTAGTAAAGATATTTTACAAGAGCAAAATCCGCGCTTTTCCATACCTAGATAAAACACTTTGTCAAGCTGAGAAACATTTTTAAACCGAATCAGCTGTATAGAAACAACACTCGATCTTACAGTGGTATAAGGCCCAAGGTTGCCAGATTATACACATATTATCAACCACACAAAAACCGTACCTGACTCCTGTCATAATATTTGAAAGGAAAAGTCTTAAAGACAGAAGGAACACATGCTTACCGTCTCTTCTCCGCAAATGTATGCTCCAGCCCCTCTATGTACGAAAACATCAAAGTCGTATCCAGATCCACAGGCGTTCTTACCGATCAAACCTTCCTTGTAAGCCTTTGAAAGAAAAAGAACAACAGATTTGCATAGGTTGACTACCAATGAAAAACTAGAAGCACAGCTAAAATATGAAATTCAACAAATTCATACAGGGAGAAGATTTATAAGATTATTATAAAAGAGTCTTAAATATTTGCAGTCGAAATTCGCTCAACCTTTCTTAACACTTTGCTCCCATGGGATGCCGATTGGTGACAGTAAGAAGCTGTACCCTTTCTCCACCGAACCACCCATCGGTGATGGTGTGATATATCAACGAAAAGGTAGGAATGAACACCTTTTAGAAATGTGCATTTATAAAAGTTAAAATTTCCTTTCAGGATGGTTTGTGTGAACTTTGAGAGCAAACATCAGTTTGTTTGCAGTAATTAGAGAAAATTTTATCGAAAAAGGTCAATTACACCTAGCTTGAGTGCTGCTATACAATTGTGCTATGATAAGAATTCAGGTGATTAATATGCTAGATCTAATGTTTTCAGTTCCGATCCAAATTCCTTTCTGGTAAACATGCGATAATAACGTTCAATTTTCTCAACAAGCTAAAAATTTCATGATGATTAGGGCGTCTTTGCAGAGATACAGGTATAGTACTGAAGTACCACACCTGCATCCTGGTCCATGGGCACAAAGGTTGAGAGCTCTGCTCGATGAGAGGATGGAAAGTGTTGAGGATTAAGTGTAGAGTTAAAAAGGGAGGGTGGAGGGAAGAGGGAGGTGCAACTGTGCAAGTGTTTTCAGTCACAATAAGAAATATTGACATTGACTGTCAGTGTAGATATGGTCATACCAATTTCCCATCTTAGAGGAGAAGAGAAGAGAAGTTTATTTCCTACACACAGAAATGATAAGCAATGCATATCAACAAATGGGTTTCCTTTGCACATGCTATAATATTTTCTTACAAAAATCAATAAACTAAAAGCAGTCTCTTTCTTTATGGTTCCTTTTCCAAATGTGTAGGTTTTGTATATGGTACGTCGAAAAAAGTCTCAAAAGCAGTTATATCTCATTACTGAAGGAACTGGGAAACTCTTCACCCGATATAAATCCGTTTCTTACCTCATTGATAGCGATCTGAAGGTTTGAAGCCTCGTTGTAGAACTCTCCACGAATGTAAATATAAGCTGAGAGAAAAAAAAAAAGAAATAGCTCTAGACAACACTGACATTAAGTCACAAACAAACAAAACTTGTACAGAACAAGCTGACAAAAAATTATAACTTGGATTATATCGAAAGATTTCAGAAACTTTTGTGGCTATCGAGGAAATTGAATGGTAACCCCAAGGCATATTGTAATCTTGGTCTTCAGAACCCATTCCACGCAAGCTTGAAATTGTGACCCGTTCACCTTTAAAAAAGAAAATTTCTATATTTATTATGAAGTCACGACTCCTCTTTGTCCCCACACAGGTCATCCTATTATCAATACAAAAACCCAGCAACATCTGAGGTTTAAATATGAATATCCTTGGCCTTTTAAGATGTGTTTAAAATAAGAGTCGAAAATGTCTAAGACAGCCACCTATCGTTGAACAGAAAAGTGGTTGTCTGAGACGGGTGAATGTCTTGGACAGTACCATTATGAAACAGATAGAAAAAGCAAAATGGAGAGTCGCAAGTGGTTGTTTGAACATGTGATTTCCTTGGACAGGTGGCCGATAGAGTAGGTTCAACAGTACCTTGGAAAGACACTCTGTATCCCCTTGGAACAGAAAATCTGGGGGGAGGGGTGTTCAGTATTAAGACAAAAGACTTTCGTCCCTGTTCTAACAGCGATCTATCTCATCATCGCCTAGCACCGACGTACTCTCCCTCCCCTTCCTCTGAAAAGTTTTCAAAATACAAAATGAAACAAAACTATCCACATTGGTACATGCACCAAAAAAACCCCCAAAAAACCCCTAACAAAGACAAAAAAAATGTTGCTACTCACCCGCCCTGGCATGCATAGCCACTCCAGCCACCAAGCAGCCTTCGATGAGCTTGTGTGGGTCGTGGCGCATAATCTCTCTGTCCTTGCAGGTGCCTGGCTCTCCCTCATCAGCGTTCACCACCAGGTACTTGGGCCTAATAATAGTAATAATAATAATAATGAAAACAATAATAAAAGTTCATTCATCAGTGTCTGACAAGGGTCAATACATCTGCAGAGTATGATATTTCTAATCAGAATAGAGATTAGGGTTAAAACGACTTGTGGCCTCTGCAAAGGCAAACGAGACCTATTCTGGCAGAAAAGAGTTTGCCATATTCTAAGCATTTTAAAGCTTCCTGTTCACTAAAAATGTACTGATCAACAAGACATACTGATGAAACCTGAATCTCCCAGGAGTAAAGATGAGGAATCAGGTAGTAGTTGAATGTCAAGATGAATTTTCACTTTCATTGACAGGAAAAGCCTTGTGAACAGCATTATTTTCAGGACTTTGTAAGATGACCAGAGAGACTTGTGTCCACTTTACTCCTTCACTTTGAAAGAAGGGAAAGATTTCTATAGGTAAAATTTTAAAGAAAAGTGTGCTAAAGTATGAGCACCATTATAAAAAAATTTTTACTACAAAACTTTTAAGGCTCCAAAATATTATCTTCCTTTCACTTGATAGTCTGGTCACTTTTCCCGCACGAAAACCAGGTTTTTGGAAGCAATGCTTTTCCTATTCTCATTTGGCATGTAAGAGGTTCTTCGAGACTCCGTGGGCAAAAATTATTCAAAAGGTCTCACTGCATACCTTCCGTCAGAGGGCTTGTTCATGAACCCCCACTTCATCCCTGTAGGAAAGCCTGCACCACCACGTCCTCGGAGCCCAGAGGTAGTGACTTCCTTGAGAATCCACTCATGACCTTTCAGTATGATCTCCTTCGTCTTGTACCATGAGCCCTGGAAGACAGATCAAAACAACTGCCATAACTCAAGAGAATTGCAAGCAGTGGTCAATTCAGATTAGCTGTGAAAACAAAATCCTGAAATATTTTGTATTATATGTGGAAACACATGCACATGGACTTAACAATTAGATCATTTCGTCTAACACATCTCTACCAAGACTCCATGCATTAACTTCTCAACAACTGACCTGAAGTGTTGCAAAATCCGAACAATTTCAGGACTCTGGATTTACTCGGAAATTTGGCTCCTGTAGTTAGTTCAAGTAAATAAAAGCCCATCAACACTAAACACTACAACAGCAATTTACAGCAGTGTATAAAATATAAGACAGAAAGACTGAAATAAGACAGGGAGGAAAGAGGAGTTTGACCAGCCAGTAGTGCCCTCAAACTGCCCCCCAGTTACAGTTTTATCACAGAAAAGTGCAAACAATAACAATCTCCATGAAAAATTCTAACAAACGTAACTTCAAACATACTTCAAGGCTATAAAAAAAAGAAGTATATTGATAACTCTAAAAGGTAGAGAAACATGAAAAGGTTAGAAATCAAAGTAAGGAAAAGAAGCAAGAGTCTCATGTAAAAATTTCATGTCTAGAGAATCATGAACACATACATAACTTACTTACATACCCAAGAAACTATACATTTTTCATTAATAGGTGTGGCGATCTCCAATATAATAAAACTGAAGAAACCGATATTTTTCCACCCATAGGGCAATTTTATCAATTTTTGGGTGGGGTAAAATCTTTCATGTCCATTCAAAAAACACAATGATAAAAGGTACACAAAGGTACAAAAAAGCAAGTTTGAGAGGTTTCCCAAGCCACTCAAGGTTTGGAAGTTACCAAACTTTAGCAGCCATTCTCTTGTTAATTTTACCTCTTAACCCAAGCAACCCCCACCTCCTTCAATCGCAAATATCGCAATTTCTATTCAAATTGACAGGAAATTTTTTTAAAATAAAAAAGAAAGACAAATGAACAAGCTTTAAGATTATACCAACAGTTCAATAATTCCCAAAACTGACAAATGCTTGATTCCACCCTGTCGAAAGATAGGAGATGACTATTTAAATAGACTGAGCGTGACCCAGTTTTTCCGAAAGAGCCCTGGCTGCCTTCTGTAAAACCACAGGTCCGACAAACAAAGGAGGAACTCACCCTGGCTTTTGCTCCTTTAAGTCCAAAGTCATAGCGTCCATACAGATTTGTGAAAATTCTATCCTGGTCTTTCAATGGTCCGAAAGTAGTCTGTGAAATGAAAATAAAACAGTGTTGGAAACATCTTGAAACTACATGACTGCAAGCTCATGTACAATTCTCAATGGCGCCTTTCTTAGCCCTTGATATAGCAAATTGATAACATGAAGCAAAACGGATTTTGAACAAACACTTTTACCAAATTTTACAAGAAAAATACACTGTGTTCGGTATGGTTGTGAGTTTTGTCCACCTGTGTTTTGGTTCCCAAGCATTTTGTATTTTATTTTATTTCACAAACTTTACAAAAAAATTCATATCATTTGACTTTTAGATTAAATTACCAAAGTAATTATCATTAAAACATTATAAATTTGAATGTGAACTTTGAAAATCGTCAAGATAATTCAATCTACTTTACCAGACTACATACCTTTTCTGGCTTCTTTGCTTCTGTTGTATTAGTTCGAGCCACGACAGAGAGTGCCGACAAAGACTGTCCTCGACCTGAGTAAAGAGTGAGAAACCATATATATACACAAATATATATAAATATATATAAATTTTACATAAATATGTCCACAGATACTTGTGAAATGAAAACTGAGAGAAGCTAGAATGTATGGCAATAGCTTGCCAGGTCCCACTGTCAAGTAATTAACCCTTGTAAGCTATACAGTCAAGGTATGGAACTATTGATAAAGTATGCTAACCTGCCACACATTCCATTGACAAATTCTCTTTAAAAAATAAAATAAATAAAAATAAAAGTTCGAGAAAAAACTAAACTGGAACCTCCATAACATCAGTACATTTTGATATAGGTAACAAACCAACCAAGACAATCATGTATTATACACACATCATCCTTTTTAGTAGGCCTATTGCAGTGAAAGTCCCAACAGGTAAATTAATTCAAAGATCAAATGCTCTTCTCACAGTGTGATTTTTGTATCACTCGTAATAATGCCATCATGGTTAAGAGAAATTCCAAGAAATTGTGTTCCACCTGTGAGAAATGGATTATAGGCTACTATACAAGAAAACAAACCTTGTAAAAATCTAATCAGGGTTCTTTGAATTTGATGCACACATAAAATTAAAACGTAAACAAATTTTACTTTTACTCCTGCACACACTACACAGATGCACTGTTCTGAGGGTCAAACAGCAGCAATTTTAAAAAAAACCTGAGATCACACGTCGTTGTATGGCTTCTTAAACTGTCACAAATTAATTATTTTCAAGAAAAAATTTGAACAAAACAGCAAAAAATCAAGTGGTGGGCGACACGCCCTCCCCACCCCCGATTCGTTTTACTTCAGGGGGGTACGCCCCCCTGAAACCCCCTGATTGGTCGAAGGGTAGAAATTAGTGGGGCAAGTAGTAGGTGTAAAAAGAATAAAACCATAAAATATCTCTAAAACTATTAAAATTTACAACGAACATAACATTGTCAAAATTAATGTAAGACAGGGATAAAAATAAAAGGCTAGTCACATTCATTACCTGAGCATGAGATGGTAGGAAAAGTAAATCCCCAATATAAATAAAACTTTCTTTTAATAATATATATGAAGTTAGTTTTGATTGCGCGGCGAAATTTTGGTCCTCGTTAGGGGGAGTCAAATTCGGTCGGCTCTATTTTGGACCAGTACGATTTGAATGAAACTTGGCAACCAATCAGAAAATAGGGCAAACTTATCACGATATATAAATGTCGAAGTTTGTAAATTTTATCAAACCTGCATTTTTGGTGTCGGAAACACTTGTAAATTGTATTTGTTGGGAGTATTCCGTAAACTATAAGGAGCTTGATTTTCAACGTCGAGAAAGTCTACTCCAATTTAAAAGTTCTATGACAAGTAGTTGTTTAGAATCAAATATCACTAGATCTACCCTCCTGTCCAAAACCGCTTCGCGCGGAGACCAGCCTTTTTCACCTCGATCCCTCAAACAAAAATGTACGTGACCTACAAATCCCCGCATGATTATTCCAAGCCCATTCATTGGCAGTCACTAGAAACTTGAAATAAGGCAAGATAGCCATTTCGGGCATCCGTTCTTCTTCTCTCTCTGTTCCACTGTAACATCGTATCGGGGGGTGTTCCGAGGTGGGCTTATCTCCCAATGGGCATTACGTATAATATAAACTTAACTTCATAAGGCATAAAGGTTATAAGGAGTGCCTCTAAAATACAAAATTTGACAATTTACTAAAATTGAAAGTAGATCTGTGCAAACTAGGCTACGCTTACTCCACTGAACTGTGTAGAGCTTATTATTATTGCAGTGGCTACGTTCACGGCGCCCTGAATGCAGTTTGCAGGTGCTGTTGAGGCTACCTTCACGGCACTCAAGCTTCGTTTAGAAGGAGGGTCCACTGCCGGTGATATATTTAATCGGAGTGTCTACGTACACGGTAACCAGGCGCGTAGCCTCAGGGTCTACGTACAACGAAGCCGGGCGTGTAGTCTCAATGTCATACATGCGGTAACCGGGCGCGTAATCTCAATATCTACGTTCACGGTAACCGGGCGTGTAGTCTCAATGTCATACACACGGTAACCGGGCGCGTAGCCTCAATATCTACGTACACGGTAACCGGGAACCGGGCTTGTAGTCTCAATGTCACATACACGGTAACCGGGCGCATAGCCTCAATATCTACGTACATGGTATCTGGGTGCGTAGCCTCAATATCTACGTACACGGTAACCGGCAACCGGGCGTGTAGTCTCAATGTCACATACACGGTAACCGGGCGCATAGCCTCAATATCTACGTACATGGTAACTGGGTGCGTAGCCTCAATATCTACGTACACGGTAACCAGCAACCGGGCGTGTAGTCTCAATGTCACAAACACGGTAACCGGGCTCATGATTATTATGGCTAAAATCTTGAATTTTTTGCTACCTTGTTTTGTACTGTCACACTCTTTGGTGCAGAAAAGCAAGCATTAGACCAAATACTATAGCCTTTGGGTGTTGACCATTGCTATACACCCCCTAAAGATGTACTTTTCCATGTTTGTGTCCCTGGAAAGCTAGAAATTATTCTTATAAAATTATGAGAAGTCATCCTCATTATTCAGTCAACTTACAGAACCTAGACTTGGCGTTTTAAGAAAAGTAAGGAATTTCTGGGGTGTAACAGATACTGTTCGTGTATTACATTGAAGATGAATTCTAGCCCAAAAATCGATTTGTACTTTTCATAGAGAAACTTCATGGTGACTTATAACTTTCGAGAACATATGCGAATATTCATGATTATATTAGACACATAAAATTGTATTTGGAAGAATTATTTCATTACGAATTGTGTGCTCGATGGATAAAGTTGCAAAATTACATCTTTCTATTATATGCGCAGATGCCATCTTTTCTGAGTATCTGCACCAATGCTATGTCCTTCATGTTCCAAAAGTTCGACAGATTTTGACAAGGCCTTTTTTTTATATTGATTATTTTTCATTCACGCTAGTCCAAAAAAAATTTACAATTTAGCATTGCCGACTCCAGCGCGTCTAACGAAATAACCAGACAAGTTGCAACGTCCGTTCTTTTTTGAGTCTCAAGAGCAGAATGAGAAATGTAAGCTTTGGGTGCACTAAATGAGAATTACCATAAATACAAGGATACACCTTAAATTGTACGTTGAAAAGTACCAAAAATTAAGTCGGCCCAGACAGAGCGGCGACAGGGAGCTGACCCCCGTGACCCCGACGTTATAAGGCGCCGGCGGGGAACCCCCTGCGGCAACTAAAATTCCACCGCCAGTGCGTCGTGCGCGAAGTATAGGGCTCCGGGATGGGTTTTTTTAATTCATTTTTTTTAAAGGTACAGTCGGGGGGGTAGAAGGCAACACCGGATGATAAAACCTGAACTTGGAAGCAAATTTTAGTATTTAGAATTTTGATTATTACTAGAGCTTCCTGCTACGGAAAAGCGTGCATTGGTGCTAGCCCTGTGGGGAATTGAGATCTGTCATACTTATGTAAGCCGTGTTTTTTAACCAAAAGGTCCGTGTTTCATTGGATGGGCGATAGTACGTTTGTTTCATTGTCCTTTGCTTTAAGAGAGGTATGACCTCATCAAGTGCATACTTTTTAAAATTCTCTCTCTCTCCCTCTCTGTTTTCTGAGTCTCGTTCTCTCTCTCTCGTGATAGTATTACATGTATTGTAAACATCTATATTTTAGCTTTCTGTTCCAGATTCGCAGATTTTCAGTGTCACTGCATTTTGCCCTCCCTTAGGAAAGATGACAGGGGGCAGATTGGGATCATTTTGGGGATTACATTCCGCTCACAACACACAAAAAGCAGAATGAAAAGGGTCAAGGTCATGACGAGAGCGAAGCTGTTACCGTGCACCTAGCTCAAGCCCCCCCACACACACACACAAACGAAACTAAATTCCCGGTTACCGTGTTCGCAGATAATGAGAGGCGCCCGGTTGCCGGTGACCGTGTACGTAGATATTGAGGTTACGTGCCCGGTTACCGAGTATGTGACATTGAGACTACACGCCCGGTTATCGTGTACGTTGACACTGAGGCTAGCGTACGTGCCCGGTTACCGTGTACGTAGACACTGAGGCTACGTGCCCGGTTACCGTGTACGTAGACCCTTTAATATTTTGGCCTGCTTCAAGCGTTCCATCTCATGAGATGAAGGAAAACGAAGCAGTGAGCAGTGATCCTTGATCGATTGACCATTCGTCATTTTCCCATACACTGAGCTCTGGGTCAGAGCTCGCCAGTGTAAGGGAAAACGATGAACTCTCAAGTGAAATTAAACGCATTGCCATTAGGACATATATATATATAGATCTAGATCTAGTCTAGTTCTAAAAAAAAAAAGAAAAAAAAATATTACAAAAAATGTAGGCAAGATGTTTCAATTGCCCTATCTCGCGTCCAGGCGAGACCTTGAGTCAGCGCGTGGCGGTCCGTGATACACGTCTATACTCTATAAGAGTGTGTGCAAACAAACATTCCAGTGCTCTCGAGTTGAAAGCGTGCCATTTTGTCTGCGGGCAGTGTGTGAGTGTGTGTGTTTAGCAAAGCAATGCCCACCGAGCGCATTTTGTTCTGCCGATTTTTGGCCCCCGCCGCGGGGGTGTTTCGTGGGACGAACTAACGCAAAGGTTGTTGTCTTCAACTTGCTCTCACACCGCTTCTCGTGAATGGATATGAATGAAACTTGGCAGCCAATCAGAAACGAGGTCAATCTCATAGTATGCAGTTTGACAACATTGTACCAGTCCTAGAAGTAGTAGAAAACGTTTGCGAAAGTGGTTGATGTGGTGCGCTTTGAAGATTTTTCGGAGCTGTGATTTGTCAAACTGACTGATAGGTTGTACACCATTTTTCTTTATTCCCTTAAAATTTCATGCTTCTGTGTTTTGCAGTTTTGGCGTAATCTTTAAAAATGTGGAGTAACTAAGGGAAAAAGGGCATTGCCATTTGCGCGAGATAGGTGAACGGCCGGCGGCTGGGA